CCCCCCCCGCCGCGGAGCCTCACCCGGGACCCCGGCATGGCGGCAGTGGTTATTACCGGAGCCCGGATTACCCCGTGCCCCCCAGCGAGGAAACCTTCTATGAGACCACACACGTCAGCAGCTCAGGGCGTTCGCCCAGGACTTCCCGGGCGGGTGGTGGCGCTTCACCCTCCAGGCCTGGGCGGCGACTTCCTAACGGATATTACGACTCCCATGGAGCAGCCCGGCCACGCTCCTGTCAAGGACTGCATGAACCCTCGAGCGAAACTGACGAAGATGACTGCTGCTAACCTGGAAGCGGTTTGACACGCACGCACACTCGCCACACACACACATGCTGGAGAGAGACGACATTGCCAGACTGGGGGTGGGGGAAGGAAAAGCACACAGAAATCACACCAATCCGCCCGACGGGGGGAGAGGGCATCTGGAGAGAGACCGAGCGCTCGCATAGCAGCTGTCTCGGGGTGGGGGAGCGGGTTTTGGGGTGGGGGAGGACAGGGACCGAAGGGATCTAGGGACCAGAGCATGTTTATCTTTTACAGATCAAGTTGTGTGTGGTGGTTCGGGGGGGACGTGGGAGGAGGGGGGGAACCAACCAGTTCAGAATCTAAAGAAGATTAAAAAAGCACCAGGGGAAGGGACTCCAGTGAGTCCAAGAGGCCTCGGGGAGCTGGTCCAACATACAGCAGCCGCCTGTGGCTCTGAGACACACCCGGTTTCCTTGGGTGCTTGGCATGGCTGGGTGGGGTGCTGGGATGTGACTCTCCACCCTCACTCAAGAAGTTTTGACAAAAATTCCACGCCAAAAACAACAGCAACGAATCTTGACAAAAGTCAGTAAAAAGGAGGGGGGGAGAGACAAAAGTATTTTTTTCTGAATGTCTATTGATGAGTTTTATCATCTCAACTTACCTGGTTCACTTCAAAACAAGTTTGTGGCCTGCCATTTTGAAGGACACGCACGTGCACAACCCCGACACACACACACACACACACACACACACACACAAAGGAGTGCTTGCTGGTTATACCAAACCCTAATTATTACTGCCTGCGGAAATAAATAAACAGAAAACCCACAAACACAAAAAAAGAGAGAGAGAGAGAAGGAAATAAAACTAAACAGAAGGGGAAAAAAGACAAAAATAGTAATTTGGGGAGGAAGCATTTTTCTTCCGACATTTTGGTCCTGCTTGAAACTAACAAAACCGAAAACAGGTCAAAAGAAAAAAAAAGTCCTTTGCTTCTTTTCCTTTTTCCTACTTTGTTTGAGAAAAAAAAATTAAAAGAAAAAAAAACTGTGGGATTGGGACTGTGGAATATTGCATGAGAAAACTAACAAAAAAAGCGTTAAAAGAAACAAATGAGAAAAAAGACAAAAAACCCTAAAAAAATTAAAAAAGGAATTTTTGATTGAAATGTTCTTGGTGTGAAATGCTCTGAGAGTTTGCTCTTTCCCCAGACAGCCCAGGGAGGCGGCTCTTCCTGCCCCCCCAGGAAAGGTCCAGCAATGGGGGTGTCCCCCCACCTCAGCTCTCAGGCTCACAGAAAACGGCTCCCACTGTGAGAGCAAAGGAAACCTTGAAAATGTGGCCCCTGGTGTGCACCTGAGCACGCTGCCAGCCTGAACACGGCCCCAGCCCAGCCCTGAGCAGGGTTGAGCAGGCTCCCACTGGCACAACCGACACAATCCGTCCTGTTTGGGTCGCAGGGCCCCACGTGCCGGGTTCTGTACGTTAGTTACTGTGCTAGGGTGGAGTCCAAGCACCCCAGCCATGGCCCGGGTGCCGCTGTGCTCATCTGTGAGCAAACAGCCATCCCTGGGTGCAGGCTGCCCTGGGCCACTTGCAGCCGTCCTCAGTGGCCAGTCGTTTGGCCAAGGCCTACAGCAGATGTGGGGCTCCCTGCCGCCTGCAGGGCTCAGCGACCGGAGGCTTGGGACCAGCTGCCTAAAGGACACCAGGTACCTGGTGGGCCAGGGGACAGCGCTCCGGGCAGGACCTCTTGAAGTAGAACAAATGGGAGAAGCTGGACAGAGTCCTCCTATGGATGCTCATGAGCCATCCAACCCATCTGCCATTCGTCCTGTAGGGAATTATCCACCCAGCTCCATCCCCCCTGCAGATCCATCCGCCTTCTCCATCCCCCCTGCCGATCCGTCCGCCTTCTCCATCCCCCCTGCCGATCCGTCCGCCTTCTCCATCCCCCCTGCCGATCCGTCCGCCTTCTCCATCCCCCCTGCCGATCCGTCCGCCTTCTCCATCCCCCCTGCCGATCCGTCCGCCTTCTCCATCCCCCCTGCCGATCCGTCCGCCTTCTCCATCCCCCCTGCCGATCCGTCCGCCTTCTCCATCCCCCCTGCCGATCCGTCCGCCTTCTCCATCCCCCCTGCCGATCCGTCCGCCTTCTCCATCCCCCCTGCCGATCCGTCCGCCTTCTCCATCCCCCCTGCCGATCCGTCCGCCTTCTCCATCCCCCCTGCCGATCCGTCCGCCTTCTCCATCCCCCCTGCCGATCCGTCCGCCTTCTCCATCCCCCCTGCCGATCCGTCCGCCTTCTCCATCCCCCCTGCCGATCCGTCCGCCTTCTCCATCCCCCCTGCCGATCCGTCCGCCTTCTCCATCCCCCCTGCCGATCCGTCCGCCTTCTCCATCCCCCCTGCCGATCCGTCCGCCTTCTCCATCCCCCCTGCCGATCCGTCCGCCTTCTCCATCCCCCCTGCCGATCCGTCCGCCTTCTCCATCCCCCCTGCCGATCCGTCCGCCTTCTCCATCCCCCCTGCCGATCCGTCCGCCTTCTCCATCCCCCCTGCCGATCCGTCCGCCTTCTCCATCCCCCCTGCCGATCCGTCCGCCTTCTCCATCCCCCCTGCCGATCCGTCCGCCTTCTCCATCCCCCCTGCCGATCCGTCCGCCTTCTCCATCCCCCCTGCCGATCCGTCCGCCTTCTCCATCCCCCCTGCCGATCCGTCCGCCTTCTCCATCCCCCCTGCCGATCCGTCCGCCTTCTCCATCCCCCCTGCCGATCCGTCCGCCTTCTCCATCCCCCCTGCCGATCCGTCCGCCTTCTCCATCCCCCCTGCCGATCCGTCCGCCTTCTCCATCCCCCCTGCCGATCCGTCCGCCTTCTCCATCCCCCCTGCCGATCCGTCCGCCTTCTCCATCCCCCCTGCCGATCCGTCCGCCTTCTCCATCCCCCCTGCCGATCCGTCCGCCTTCTCCATCCCCCCTGCCGATCCGTCCGCCTTCTCCATCCCCCCTGCCGATCCGTCCGCCTTCTCCATCCCCCCTGCCGATCCGTCCGCCTTCTCCATCCCCCCTGCCGATCCGTCCGCCTTCTCCATCCCCCCTGCCGATCCGTCCGCCTTCTCCATCCCCCCTGCCGATCCGTCCGCCTTCTCCATCCCCCCTGCCGATCCGTCCGCCTTCTCCATCCCCCCTGCCGATCCGTCCGCCTTCTCCATCCCCCCTGCCGATCCGTCCGCCTTCTCCATCCCCCCTGCCGATCCGTCCGCCTTCTCCATCCCCCCTGCCGATCCGTCCGCCTTCTCCATCCCCCCTGCCGATCCGTCCGCCTTCTCCATCCCCCCTGCCGATCCGTCCGCCTTCTCCATCCCCCCTGCCGATCCGTCCGCCTTCTCCATCCCCCCTGCCGATCCGTCCGCCTTCTCCATCCCCCCTGCCGATCCGTCCGCCTTCTCCATCCCCCCTGCCGATCCGTCCGCCTTCTCCATCCCCCCTGCCGATCCGTCCGCCTTCTCCATCCCCCCTGCCGATCCGTCCGCCTTCTCCATCCCCCCTGCCGATCCGTCCGCCTTCTCCATCCCCCCTGCCGATCCGTCCGCCTTCTCCATCCCCCCTGCCGATCCGTCCGCCTTCTCCATCCCCCCTGCCGATCCGTCCGCCTTCTCCATCCCCCCTGCCGATCCGTCCGCCTTCTCCATCCCCCCTGCCGATCCGTCCGCCTTCTCCATCCCCCCTGCCGATCCGTCCGCCTTCTCCATCCCCCCTGCCGATCCGTCCGCCTTCTCCATCCCCCCTGCCGATCCGTCCGCCTTCTCCATCCCCCCTGCCGATCCGTCCGCCTTCTCCATCCCCCCTGCCGATCCGTCCGCCTTCTCCATCCCCCCTGCCGATCCGTCCGCCTTCTCCATCCCCCCTGCCGATCCGTCCGCCTTCTCCATCCCCCCTGCCGATCCGTCCGCCTTCTCCATCCCCCCTGCCGATCCGTCCGCCTTCTCCATCCCCCCTGCCGATCCGTCCGCCTTCTCCATCCCCCCTGCCGATCCGTCCGCCTTCTCCATCCCCCCTGCCGATCCGTCCGCCTTCTCCATCCCCCCTGCCGATCCGTCCGCCTTCTCCATCCCCCCTGCCGATCCGTCCGCCTTCTCCATCCCCCCTGCCGATCCGTCCGCCTTCTCCATCCCCCCTGCCGATCCGTCCGCCTTCTCCATCCCCCCTGCCGATCCGTCCGCCTTCTCCATCCCCCCTGCCGATCCGTCCGCCTTCTCCATCCCCCCTGCCGATCCGTCCGCCTTCTCCATCCCCCCTGCCGATCCGTCCGCCTTCTCCATCCCCCCTGCCGATCCGTCCGCCTTCTCCATCCCCCCTGCCGATCCGTCCGCCTTCTCCATCCCCCCTGCCGATCCGTCCGCCTTCTCCATCCCCCCTGCCGATCCGTCCGCCTTCTCCATCCCCCCTGCCGATCCGTCCGCCTTCTCCATCCCCCCTGCCGATCCGTCCGCCTTCTCCATCCCCCCTGCCGATCCGTCCGCCTTCTCCATCCCCCCTGCCGATCCGTCCGCCTTCTCCATCCCCCCTGCCGATCCGTCCGCCTTCTCCATCCCCCCTGCCGATCCGTCCGCCTTCTCCATCCCCCCTGCCGATCCGTCCGCCTTCTCCATCCCCCCTGCCGATCCGTCCGCCTTCTCCATCCCCCCTGCCGATCCGTCCGCCTTCTCCATCCCCCCTGCCGATCCGTCCGCCTTCTCCATCCCCCCTGCCGATCCGTCCGCCTTCTCCATCCCCCCTGCCGATCCGTCCGCCTTCTCCATCCCCCCTGCCGATCCGTCCGCCTTCTCCATCCCCCCTGCCGATCCGTCCGCCTTCTCCATCCCCCCTGCCGATCCGTCCGCCTTCTCCATCCCCCCTGCCGATCCGTCCGCCTTCTCCATCCCCCCTGCCGATCCGTCCGCCTTCTCCATCTGTCCCCTACAGATCCATCCGCCTTCTCCAACCGCCTCCCTGCAGATCCATCCGCCTTCTCCATCCACCCTGCAGATCCATCCACCTTCTCCATCCCCCCTGTGGCCTGGGAAAGGGGCCTTGTCGCTGTGAGTTCACATCCCAGCGTGGCCAGGCCATGCAGGGCCAAGCTGGGTCATGCAGGCGTCTCCAGCTCCCTTGGAGCAGCGAGCCAGGGCTGGGGCTGTAGTTCACCTGGTAACAC